GACACGATTTCTAAAACAATTTTTCTGATCCAAATGCATCCTAAAGATTTAATTGTGCGGTTGTAGCTGGACCACGTTGAGCTTATGCTTTTTAGCTGATGTTAAAGTTCCTTAAACCATTGTAGCGTGAACTTTCAAAGATAAAGTTTTAAATGCTTTAATTAGGTATTTTCAACTCTTAAATGAAAAATATTTTATTTATGAATATATTTAATAATACTAAATTTTGTATAATAATAAACTAATTAGGTATATTATATTTATATATAAAAATAAATATACATAATTTACATAAATAAAATTTTTAATACAATTGTTAATTTTTAAAAATATTAATTAAAACACAATATTTTAGAAATGTCCTTCAAAATGGCATCTTACAAAATACTTTTTTCTTATAAAGAGTTTTAAATAATCCTAATTTTATAGGAGTAATTATCCATAAATTAAATTAATTGGTCAAACCAATTAGACTGACCATAAAGTCATTAGTTGAAAAAATAAGGTGCTATAGCAATTTAATAGGTCAAAACTGACCAATTTAGAGGTAAAACTAGTAATTGGTGAATTTGAGAAAATATATAAATAAAATCGTTAATATCAATATCAATTTTTAATTTTTTATTTAAAAATATCAACTTTTAATATTTCAATTAAAAAGTCAGTGTACAATATCAACATTACTATCTAATTAATTTTTAAACAAAAAAATTAAAAGTAATATTTTTAAATAAAAATTGATATATTTATTTAAAAACTAATAAAATTAATATTTTAAAATATAAAATATAAAATTTCCATCTTTTCTAAATCAATTTCTTTTATATATTAAATTATATATTATACAGGAAGGATAATCTTTCCTTATTTCTTTATTCTCAAATCTCTTTATCTATCTCAAAGTTCAAATTTAAGATGTTTAATTTAAATTTTTAAATTTTTAACTATTCAATCGTTCCATTTAAATTATCTTTTCTCAATCTATGTCAAAACGGTTCGATCACAGATTTGATTTTAAAAACACTAGCATCTATGTTTACCATTGAAAATATTAATTACCTCTTCTTTTAATCAAATTTTATGCAACTCAAATGGGCTAAGTAAAATTAGCTGGTCAAAATTGGCCCATCTTAGATTGGACCCTTTGGCCTGCAAGAATGGGCTAAGTAAGGTGGTGCGCGATCGGCCACTACGCATGTTTCACGTTCACGCCGAGGTTTTTCTTGTATTTTTAAAGTTTTGATAAGGTGTTTCCGACCATAAGAATACTGTTGATTTTAAAAATCTGAGAGTTGAACTTTACGTCTTTTACCTATAATAAAACCCTTATTTACCGGTTGTTAATTTTGTTTATTTATATCAATCACATAAATAATTTAGTGATTATTTTTTTTATTAAAAGTAAAATAACTTGAATTTGAGTTGCATGATATATAAATATAGTGGGATAAAAGATGAGAGATGATTATTTTTTTATTTTATAATCAAAATAAAATTAAAAAAATTGTTTGTATATAATTTTTCTCTCCTTTCTCTAGTAAACATGAACATATGCAAATCATGCATTGGATTCGAAATCAATCACAATCAACTGCAATTACACGTTTTGCAGGGTGATATTTTTTAATTCCTAAACCCACCTCACCACAGGTTGCGGGTGGATTGTTGAAAAAAAAATGTGAAAGAAAGAATAAAAATAGTGTTATGAGATAGTGAAGATGAAATAGACATGCCCAAAGAATCCATTATGTCAGCTAATGGACACTATTGCATGTCCAATGGTTTACACAATTATTTTGTTCATGTCCAACGGATGGACATGTTTCAACATGTTCAATCCAAAAGGCGCCTTGTTTTGAACATTTTGATAATAATGTCTTACACCCAATTATGGGTAATTCAACATTGGTGTATATTGCTCAATCCAAAAGGTCATGGACACAACTACCCAACTTCAAACACAACCATTAATCAATTTTTAACTCGAGCAAACGTGGTTTCTAAGAATTAGGTTGGGTTAGATGCTTCTTCAAGGTTGTCCTATGCCAGGATACCAAGGGCATATTCCAACTTGTTGAATAATTTAAAAAATAAAAGTCTTACATATAGAAAGAATAAAAAAAATAAAAAGATATATATATCTATTCTCTATTTATAAATAATTATGAAAAATGAAAATTCAAGGCCTATAGGTTTTGGATTTATAAGCATTTGGAGCATTTTAGAACTTTGACATGTCAAAAGAAATTTATTTTTTAATTTAATTTAATTTTTTAAAATTAGAGATTCATATCTAAAATTTAGACATAATTTTTGATAATTAAAAAACATTTTTTCATAATAAAGCCTTTATGTGAGGATGCATTTTTTGGTTGATGTCTTTTTAAAGAAATATATTCCTTCAATTGGTGTCTATTCATCTAGTATAAGATTTTTAGCAAAATTTCATGTTTTATATTTAATTTTGAGAGAGTTTTTGAATTCTATTATATTTTAAAAAATTTTCAATCTTTAAGAAAAATAAGATCAGCCCCAGTACTTATTCCTCTGTTGCCTTCCATCCTTTTCTAACAGAACCTGCCGCTGGGAGAAAGGTACTATTATTACCTTCGCCTTGGCACTAATATTAGGCTCATGTAGCACAGTGGATTGCATATTCTTATTTCACACCATAAGGGCTTTTCAAAGCTGACCCAAGTTTGGCCAGTTTAACAACTTACTGACCTGTGCCACCTGAACATTTACGCTCTTGCCACTTCCATAAGCCTTAACCTTGCAGAATCTGTGAGGGCCTGATGAGCCTGACACCGGCAATTGGTAGGCCAGCAGCATCAGCCGCTGAGACTTCTAGAGGCCTTGCAACTGTTAACTCTCCCTTGCCGCAGCATACGCAGCTAGTCCACCTATTGCAAAACAATGGCTATGTTAGAAAGCACAAGGCCATGAACGAAATACTAAGTTAATTGCCACATTTAGGTCTTTCTTAGAGTGGAAAATGGCTGTTAATACTATGGCAATAAGTTAATCTGTGTAAAAAGGTAAGACAGCAAAAGCAAGTTCATTTTTAAAATATTCCCAACAACAAGCTGTTATCAGAACTTCAGCATATGTAGGATCACAAATGTTTCAATCTTGGCCCTTTCCAAATGCCACGAATAGAGATGCATTGGAGAGGTCAAGAGTAGAGTTAGCTAGCATCTTTCTAAAGGGCCAAGAGATCATTTGCAGCAGCAGTTCAAAGTTTAGTGCTTGAGATTATATTTACATCTACCAACAAGAGTTTAACCAAGTTGGTATCTATTAATTAAAAAACACTGATTTGGGTCATGATCAAGGGTTCAAACTCAATGTACCAAAAAAATTAATATTACATTGCACTTCTTGGCAAGTACACAAACTAAACTTTTTCCTTATTCCATAAAGCAAAATTAATCAATCCTAATTATAAATAATAGTACATCTATAACTAAGAACTATTAGGCAACACCAAGAACAACAGCAAATGATAAGTAAATATACGCAAGGCAAAAACCTATATCAAATGAACATGTAATATCCATATGGACAGTGGACAGCCGGCAAACCTACTCACTGAAACATAGAAATGAAACTGTAAGGATACCAAGAAAATTTTGTAGTATAGCTAAGGTTCCACGAAAATCTTCCCCGTAGCGTGGCATCGCATACAACTGTCCCAAGCATCTTCAGCCTTGCTCAGGGGATACTTCGAATCAATCACTGTCTTAAGCTTTCCTTCTTTTACCAAATTAACAAGAAAATTGAGGTTTTCACGCTTGGCAGATACAATCATTGGCACCAACTGCTTCTTAGAGAAGGTAAGCAAATTTGCACCAAAAGTCATAAAGGTACTAGTACTTGGAGTAATGTCTATTACTTTCCCATTTGCACTAAGAGTTGGCTTAAAGGTTGACCACGGAATGTCTGTAGTGCAATGGACTACAAAATCATATTTCACACCAGAAGGGCTCTTCAGAGCTGCTCCATCAGGAGTCTTGTAGTCCAGAACCTCATCTGCCCCCAGGCTCTTGACAAAGTCAATGTTACGAGCCCCACAAGTGGCAGTAACATGTGTGTTCCCAAGTTTAGCTAGTTGAACGGCATAGTGTCCCACACCACCTGAGGCAGCAGTGATGAGTACATTTACTCGCTTGCCACTTCCATCAAGCTTGATCCCAGCAAAATCGGTGAGAGCCTGATGAGCAGTGAGACCAGCAACAGGTAGGCCTGCAGCATCAGCGGCTGAGACTTCCTGAGGCCTTGCAACAGTCAAACTCTCCTTAGCCACAGCATACTCAGCTAGTCCACCTCCAACCTGTCATTGCAAGACACAATTAATCACACAATGGCCACAATGAACAGAAAAATACAAATATTGTTTACAAAGTTAATTGCCCTGAGTAGATCTTTTTTTGAAAATGATGGACACAATTATACATGACAAAAGCAAAATGTCAGATCAATTTGGACCAATAATTCATATCTAGTCCTTAAGAAATTTCAACAAGGTCTATGATATACTAATGCCACCGTACTGTTTGATTTTCTGAAGATGTTGATGATGTGGGTGATTTCACCAAAGAGGCTTCGAAACACTTATAAAAGCCCTAAGGATCTAACCGGCGCTTTGTCAAGATTTGTTGGATTGGCAATACGACTTACTGAACCTAACCACAATACCAGAAAGAACAAATGTTGACTGCTTGAGCAGTCATATGCTTATCTTCAGGACCTAAGGTAGTGCCTTTTCAATGGAGTAGAGTCACTGTAATGCTAATTTCAGACAAAAACAAAACCAGAAGAACAAGAATGAGAGTTTTACCTGAAGACCAAGATAAGACACAACTTTGTCGCCAGCTTTGAAATTTTTAACTCCTGGTCCAATCTCTATGACTTCTCCTGCCACATCGAGAACTGCTCCAATGGAAATATATCCACCAATAATTAGAACAAGACAATAGAAAATTGAAAACAGGTCTATCAGAAAAAATAAAAAAATAAAAAAAAGGAATTGGCAAGAGGTCTATCAAATTTGTTATACACACTGCTAAAACCAACAGTGATCTAGAGGAATCACATAAAGTAATAACTTGGTAAAAAGAGGATTACATTTACAAATACTTTTTAATTATGAAGTTGAAAAGTTGTTTTATAATATGCAAATGCTGTATAATAGCCAAGTTTCTATTTTCAGGCATAAAACCTTGAAGTAACATAAATACTATTGCTTTGACAATAAATAGTAAATACTGCCTATTATTGGCACAAGTCCCTTAACTTATAAAAAGACATCCCGCTGTATCAATCTTAGTTTTGTCAGAAATAGTTATGACAAGTACATCAAACAGAAATATTATGGAAGGGTAAGCAGATCGCACCACTAAGCATTCGATTCTCTGAGATGCTAGTGGTGTAGGAATTTTAAGAAAAAAAGAGGAGCAATTTAGCTGTCCATATCAACTTGCAAATGGTAAGGGCCAATGCAAACTTGAATGAAATAAAATGTTTGATGCAAACTCCAAGTGTATAATACCATGTTTGAGCACTTGGGAACTTAACATTGTAATTGAGAAGAATTTGATCTCAAAGCTAAAGTATAACTACCAGGTATATGAGGGAATTTGCGGGGATAAAGCGGTCGCATGTATCCTTTCTGCATTTTCCAGTCAACTTGATTTAGAGAAGATGCTTCCACTTTTACCAAAATCTCATTCTGTTTTGGAATGGGAATTGGAACTTCAACATGCTGCAACATCAAATCAACACGTTTATTCAGGTGAAGCATGCAACAAAATGCGAGAAACACATTTGCAAATGTACTACTTTATGGTTTCATGTCAATGAGACAGAATCCCCAAGAACAAATCCTTAACTTGGTAATGGATATTCCCTCTAAAACAGATCAATTTCACCCGTTCCTCTTACAAACATACATGTATCCCCTCTGAAATTCTACTTTTTTATTGTTGACCCGTGTGAAATTATTTAATTTCATTCTTAAACACACAAAAACACTACACTGACAAAAACCTACACTAGTAATCTAGTATCATAATTCCCAAGAAGCTAGTTCATCTAAAATGGTACAAAAATAACATCAACATCTAAATTTCCTCGGTTAGAATTCCAAGCTTAAATTTATGAAATGATGAGAGCATCACCGAGATTACATGTTACCAAAACCCCATTGGATCCTGGAAATGGAACATTAACTAAACTTTAGTGATGAACTAAAATTTCTCATATTTTATTATGTTAATTTTACCTTGATTTTATCAATATATGAATGGGTTTGTTATGATTTTATTGGAGTTCACATTATTTTCATTGTTTACCCAGAAAAAAACTATATGGGAAGAAATCATAAATATTAGGATTGAATTATCAAACTTCAAAAGCTTAAGGACGAAATTGAAAAAAGAAAAGTTAAAGTTAAAAACTTAGCCGAAGAATTTAGAAGCTTGAGGATCAATGTGGGCATTAACTAAAAGTTAAAGGACTAGAATTGAAAAAGTTGGAATTCTTCATAAAAACTCCGACCGGCCTTCCAAAGGCAGCGAATTTGAAGTTGTCAGCACGTGACGTGACTCCCTAGGCAATTTTCAGCTGCACCACATTAAACTCTGGGTTAATGCCATCTGTCATCCCTCTACTATCAAAAATAGTGCAATCTAAACCTTCTACTATGGATTGACTTCATGTCATCCCTCTACTATCAATTAACTCCACGTGTCGTCCCTCTACAATGCTAAAACATGTTAATGTCGTCCTTCTGTCCAATGCAAGCTAATGGTACTATTTATGGACCGTTAAGTGCAACAGTCATACCAATTAGGCTTTTTAAAATTTTTTACCTTACCTTGTGGGTCCCACCCTTGCCACATCATTTTCAACTGGTACGAGGCTTTTTCACTAGACAAAGTAGCTATTTGCTGCATTGATGGGACGACCATAATCTACTCATCTAGCAAGACAAAATCATTTATAAACGCATTCCATGAGCGTGGCTCAGTCGTCACTTGTTGTTTTTTGAGGTAGCTTGTAGTTTGTTCCTATGTTTTGGGTTCAATATCTCCCTATACACTAACACCTCTAATATACTAACTTCTAATATATTAACTTTTAATTATTGTCCTTCTTAAAAAAAAAATCATTTATAAACAATTTTGTTGGGGTTTTTTCTTTTACATCAAGGATATTGTTATAGTTAAAATCGTTACTAACTTAATACTGTTGAAATTATGATAATTAATAATTTTGTTATTAATTTTTATTATAATTTTATAATTTTTTACTAGTTAATTACAATATTTAAAAATAATTATTTAAATTTTATTTTAATTTATTTAATAATAATATTAATTATTTTATTAATTATTAATTATTTTTAACAATTACAT